CCCTTACACTGCCAGGCAGAGGTGTCTTTCACTGGGGAAATTAATCTGCTGCAGAAAGGTTATTATGTCTCTTTTGAGGCTTTCTACTCAATTCCTCAAAAATACAGAAAGAAAATAAAAAAAGAATATATAACGATATATATAAACTATCTATCTAAGAACATAAAAGAAATATAAAACCTGCTGTCTAGTCACCAAAGTTCCTCAGCCCAATTTCACAATGGAAACCACACCATCAATGGCTCTGCTCAGCCATTTATTTGGGACCAGGATCTCTTAAACTCCGCATCTCCAGAAGCAGTTCTTACTGCTCATGATACACATGGGATAATGCCTTGGATTCATTCAGGGTATAATGAGTTTTCATCCTCTGGGCAGCATTACACATGGTAGTGGCCGGGTTAGGTATATGTACATGCAAGTATTTCACCCAATGCTGAAATCTGTCAGCTTGGAAGGAGGAGACATCCTCTTGTGGAAGGGCACACCAAAGCAAGTGCATGAGGTGTTTAGGAGAGAGCGTGGGGTTATGGTTTTAACCCAGCTGGCAATGAACACCACACAGCCAACTCGCTCACCCTCCTCTCCACCCTCCAGGGATAAGGAAGAGAATTGAAGGGGTAAAGGGAAAAGAAACTTGTGGGTTGAGAGAAGAACAATTTAATAATTGAAATACAATTAAATAGAAAGTAATATTGAGAATAATAATGATAATAATAAGAGTAATAATAGAATACACAAACAAGTGATGCACAGTGCAATTGCTCACAACCCACTGATCAATGCCCAGCTCGTGTCCCACAGGTAATTCCACAGGAGAGCAAAATCCCCAAAACTGCAATCCCAGAAGAGAGAGAGAGAAAAGAGCAAGAAAGCAAACTTCCCAACAACCCTCATCTATATACTGGGCATGATGTTACATGATATGGAATATACCATTGTCCAGTCTGGGCCTCAATCCTAAACCTAAGATCAAATCCTAAACCAGTAATTGTGGGTCCACTGCTCTGGTTACTCTCCCCTGTAGCTTCTTGTGCTCCCACATACTAGCAAAGCATGGAAAGTTGAAAAGTCCTCGACTGTCTAAAAACATCAGTATGATATCAACATTCTTCTCATACCACATCCCATACTAAATCCAAAACACAGCACTATTCTAGCTGCTAAGAAGAAAATTAAGTCTATCCCAGCTGAAAGCAGGACACAGGGAGAGCCCTTTGGAGCCTGCATGAGGTCAACTGGTTGCAGACACTGGAATCAAACCCCTCTGCTTTCACAAGAAAGACACATGTTGGCTGAGACTAGCAACATCACACCCTCAGTCATTTGTGGTGCTACAAGGTGACAGTGGAATAACCAACCGCAAAAGAGAACTTCTATTTCCACTCTGTGGCACTGATTTTTTGGGCAGAGGGACTTTAAGAATCCCACCAAAGAAGTGACGAAGCCCAGCTGGGAGAGGTGATGAGGCCACGTAATTGTCTGGCCAATGGCTTATAAGACCTACAGCTGACTTCACTTGTTTATAGAGGAAAGAACAGAATCAGAGACCAGCATCAGTTGGTTCAAGAAGAGGTGAGCTTTTTATTATGGTTAGCCCTTCAGTAGCAGTTTCTAGAGGAATAATATGAAGCGTAAGCATATAGGTCTTCTAGAATCTACAAGGATGCCAAAGTCTACCAAGACTTTCCAGCTCTCAAAAGCCAAAGGCAAAACCTTTCTTCCAGACTGGGGGTCTCCAGGATGACTGAAGGCTCTCAGTGCTGCACCCTGCATCATTATTCATTCTGTTAGCTTGGTCTAATATAAATCAGAGACTAAAAGGTGTCACAACAGCAGTATAGATGGTGTCTGTGTTGACAATCCCTTCTATGGCAGATGGCCGCATGCTCACGGTAAAATAAGCAAACAATGAGGAAGCACATGTGGGGCACTTCTCTCCCACTCTGCAAATCTTAAGCCATTAGAGGTAACTGCTTGTCTCTGGGCTCCTCCAGTTAACATACCTGCACTCTGAATCACGCAAAAGCCATCTAAAATCATAAGAAATATCTAAATAAATCAGCATCAGAAAATTTGCTGCAGGTGTTCATTCCTGCAGGGATGTGACCATTTTAACACTTGTCAGGGTCATAGCACACAGCTGAGGAAATCGCTCCGGACAACTCTGTGTTCCCAAGAGAATAAAACCAGGAGACATGCAGAGTCACCCAGCAGGCAGTAGGAACAGGAGCAATGGTAGCATTACTTAACTAAGTGCAATTTGCTCTCCCTATCTTGATTTAAATTACACTGCCAGAAGAGGCTGACAGTGTCTGGAATCAAATTGCTTAGAACAGTGCCTCTTCAGAGGGAGAGAAAAAAAATACCTAAATAACCTGAGTGCAAATCATCTTGCAAAATGACTATTGTGATTGGGGACAGTGGGATCTGGGGCTAGTTTTCATCAGGATAGTGCTCGTGTCATTATTCTGGGCCAAAGCCCTAATGCCCTGTTGTAAAATGGGGGGTTGCACCACCGATGTTTCTGCAGCGCATAAATCAACCTGGGTCTGATCCCAAGAGTTGGGGGAGGCACCCTCAAACAAGAGTCTCTGAGCTGTTCCTGCTTCCTTCACTTCTCCAGGTCAGCATGGGCTCTGGGGACCATCTTCAGGACGATGGGCTCCTTGGGTTGCATGAAACCTTTCGTGTCCAGAACCAGTGGGATCTTGAGCAGGAAAAGAAAAAAAAAAAAGAAACAAACAAACAAAAAAACCCAAACAAAACAAGAAATCAAAAGAAAATAGCCATGTAAACTGGGAAAAAGGACAGTCACGACACTGACAGGACCCCTGCAGCCCACATACACCTCAGCCACCCCTTGTTTTCAATGCATTTCCTAACTTACAGATTAATTTACAGCAGGACTATCACTGTTGCTCATGCAAAACATCTACAAGCTGGGATTTAATAGCCCTCTGCTCATGAATACAATGGCCAGTGAATTCTGGTTTTCGCATGGAAGAGCTCCGTGCACTGATCAACAGGCTGCACATGGAGGGAAAAGCCCAAAATCCATGTGGGGAGCTGCAGCTAAGGAGGGGCACACAGTGCCATTTTGGTTAATGCTGAAGTGTGCCAGCATGAAGGGGAGCTAGATCGTGATGGGAGCTGGAAGAGCAATAAACTCTACAAGAAGAATGAATCTAAGATTGCTGCTCGGACTGAGGACCAAAGAGAAAGCATCCTCACACAGAAAAGCGATGGGCTCCCTTGGGGTGGGCTGCAAATCTCAATAAAAAGAACATTTAAAACTGGTGTTGGAGGGAGTCATCTGGCAAGGGAGGGAAGAAGGTTTTCCCAAGTCTCCTCCAGCAATTCGATGCTGCTCATACCCCAGCTCTCCTTCTCCCCATCAGGACAAAGGTAATACACCCCCAGCCCAACAAGCTCCATTAAAATCCCCGTATCCTAGCAAGCTTTGTTTCAGGAAGTTGAAGCAATATGGCTTGGAGCCCAATGTGCCATCAGTGGAGGAGTGAGAGGAGGCTGCAGCTTCCATAGACATATTCCAAAGGGATGTTCTGGCATGAATTTTTCCCCCCTGCTCTGATCTGATGTACATGACATCTTCTGTAGAAAAAAAGGGCTGAAAGGACCCCATAAACCTATGGGCAGCAATAATACAATACATATTTAACTTGTCTCTTTTTAATTAAAGGCAGTTATAAAAAGAATCAATTTTATGGATTGCAGAGGACTAGAAAAATGTCATTAGACTTGGGGGAGGTTGGATAGGTCACCGCATTGTTAATGGACTATTACAATCTTTCACCTCCAGGTTACTAGTTGAGTTGCAATCTGAATCTGCAGAGATTCCAGCTGAGCACCCGTGCCAAGTAATAATTTAATAAGGATTTTTTTTTTTTGTTTCTTACAACAAATGTCCTTTGAATACATTTGCTGCCCCCTCTGCTCTGATTTCCCAAGCTCACCTTGTAAATGAAATGTATTAACAGCAATGCCCTGTCCTGCAGGGCCTGACCCATCAGTACCGCACATATCGTTCACGGGGATCCTGGATCAGACCCCAAACCTGGTGGGACCCTGCAGAGCCTCAAAGGGGAAGGGGATTGCCAAGTCAAATTTAGCTCAGACTGCACTTGCTTGAAAATTGTCACCCTGTAGAGACTGCCTGGTGGCCCATGAGAGATGAATTTTGCTGTCTTGGGACCTCTCGCAGAGAATAGCCATGTTTGTGTGGCAAAGCTCAGCTTTGGAGGAGGCTGGGGAGGTTGGGGATATTCCCTTTCTGCTCCCAGGAGCAGCATCTTCCTAAACCAGGTCAAGGCAGACCAGCAGCACATCATGAGGGAGCGAGCACCTCACAGCTTAGGTGCACCCAAAGAGAGGCAAAGGACTTGGGATTTCAGCCTGACATATTCCACCAACATTAAATTTGCTTCTGTAGAGGCTTAAAAAAAAAAAAAAAAGTATCAGTAACTCTTGTTCAACCATTTAAATTAACTGAGAAGATTTAAATGCAGTTATTCCCATATGCCTCTCTAATCCACAGTGAAATCTTCCTGCCTGATCTCTGTGTGAAGTAGTAAAACCCAAATTTGCAGACAAGGTTCAGCGGTCCTGAAGCCAGCCCTCTCTGAACTCCTTGGGGAAGAGAGGGTTTAATGTGTGTAAGGGACAGATCCTTGTCTGTCCTGAGACAGAGGCAAATGGGAGCATGAAGGACCATTTCAGTGAGACTAAAGGGTAGATAATGAAACACATCATCCCTTATCCTTACCGGAGTGTCTTTGCAGGTTCTGAACGAGAAGTTTTGCAACAGGACGACCACAGCCACTTTCATGACAAGGAGAGCAAACCTCATTCCTATGCAGTTCCTGGGGCCAGCCCCAAACGGCAGGAAGGTATAGGGGTCAATAGACTCTTTGCTCTCTTTACTGAACCTGATTACAACAGCAAAAAAAAGTTAGAAAGAGCTACTGTTCCAGGATGTGCCAGCTTTCAGATCTGAAGTGATGAGTGGTCTGGGAAGGCAAAAGCTTTTTGTGTTTCTGTGCATATTAGAAGAACCCAGCTAAGTCCCTTATTTCTCTCTCAATAGATGCCTTATGCCTCTGCTTTTATCCTGCTGCTTGGAGTTGGCTGTGTATCTCCAGGTGCACCAGGTGAAGAGGGAATACCTGAAATATGCTAATGGATTTCATAACGATTCGTTTCTCAGAACTCCCTCTCAGCTCAAAAACTGAGCCCAGATTTCAAGCCCTAAACCACACAGGTCTACAGCTTCACGTCTTCCCTTTAGATCAAAGGACGGAGCGAACACAAAGACGTTCTCCCCCTGCGTGACAAAAGGGAGGGCTGCTTTTGAGACACGTGAGCCATTCCTCTCCTCACCATGAAAAACAGCGAAGAACAATCAGCTTCACAGAGAAATTTGCCACTGAGCATTGTCAGCAGTACTTCTTAGTGATCAGTTAGTTTTCATGTCAGAAAGCTTTTCATTCCTGGTGCACGGGGTCCGGGTACAAACCTCAGCCATGCTGAGTCAGCAGTAAAGTATCTCGCTGCTAAGACACCCGCACATCCCTTTGATGAGCCCCCAGCAAGGAAAGTGGTCTCTAAAGAGCTCCTGTCCAGCTACCAATGCCCAGTGTGTCAGCTGGAGCAAGGACACAGCTACTGGAGCAACTGGTGTAACGTGCCCGTGGCCAGAGG